AAAATAATAAACAAGCACTGATGAACACAGTCCTGCATTTTATTTCCATTTGGATCATTTTATTGGAAGTTTGCCTTTGGAACTTTTTTTTTTTTCTTGCCTAACCTCCATCACTTTCTTCTTGTAAATAATATGGACTGACAATGTAAAAGGAAGGGACATTTAGTCCCAGCTGCCAACTTCTGGGCCAATCTGTATTCCCAGCAATAATTGGACATGCATATAGCTAATATATCTTTAAAAGAAAAGGCTTTAGACAATGCTTATATGTAAGGATAGCAAAATATTCAGTGCATAACCATTCAATGCATGGGGTATTTAGCTTTGGATGGTCCATGCCAGAACTGAAATGGGGCTGTTCTAGGGTTTGGAATCCATGCATGGAATGAAATGTGGTGGTTTGGGGCTAGGTGGAAATGGCTTGAGAGAAGCAGTAACTGGGGAGAGGAGGCAGGAGAGGGAGGGAAGGGAGAATGCTAGAAAGAATGTGCGAGGAAGTGGAACATCTCACGTGAAGATATGGGTAGCAGTGCAGCAGCAACAGCTGAAGGGAGGAAGTGAAGATGCTGGGCAGATCAGAGGGTGGAGAGGTTGGTGAGATATGCTGTGCTGGGATATTGGTGTCTATTAAGGGAAGGAAGGGAAAAGGGCTGTGAAGAAGGGGAGGTGAGCAGGCCAGGGGATATCCATGCTAGAAGTTACCGACCAGAGGAGAAATTTTGTTTTGACTAAATTTGGAAGACTCAAACCAGCTTTCCGTAACTGGGTTCTATAGAACTCTGGCTGAGGAGTTTTGGCAAGTCCTCTGGAGGTAATTTTCCTTGTTTTGTGCAGATCCCAACTTATAAGGGGAAAAAAACAAACAAACCTCCAGATGTACATAATATTATAGTTGCTATGCAGACTTTATCTCTTGACCTGTGTCTCTAGAGAATTTGGAATACTATTTAGTGAAATAATTAAGCATATGCATCATTTTAGCTAATGAAATAAAGTACAGAAATAGTCATAAATCATGATGAGAACAGTTGTTTTGCTGAAACTTAGCTTTATATAGCCTCTCCTCTCCTATTATTGGCTTTAAATTAGTAGAAGTATTTCCAGGTATAGCTGGAGCTATGCAGTAGAACTGGTGCTGGGTATGGGAGAACTTCCTACTAACTCCTGAGTGCTTGGTAAGGAAATATTTCTCATATTCTCCTTGTTTAATTATACATCCCAAGGCTGTTGAGTGGGATGGGTCTTACAAAGAATGTTTTTAAAATAACTGAATTCTTATAGGAACATGAATTCTATTATAATCAAGACGATAAATTGACAAGAGATCTTCTGTCCCTACAACTAGCTCATGAACCAATCACCAGGCACTCATCCTGCTCTAGGACACACAGAAGTAATTTTGTAAAACATGTTGTACAATGTTGAGAAGTCCCATACACAAAAAAATAGCTGCGTTCTATCCCACCATTTCCAAGAAATGTCCATTCCATGTCCCTTGAAAAGTGCAAGCTAAATTCAAGCTTTAAGCATCCTTGCAAATTTCACATCTGTGCAAGACTGATTTGACTCACATGATGGAAATGTGGAAATGAGAGGAGGCACACAGGGGCATCTTACTGTCATGAATACATCTATTTAGTATTGAGATTCTAATAGAAAAGGTATCAAACTAAGATAGTTGGATATAAATGTTGCTCAGATTCTCCTTAATGTCCTGGTCTGATCAGTCTTCCCTAGACTGGGGGAGGTGAGAGGACAGGCTGGAACATCAAGCTGACTGGGTGCACTTTGTGACAATATTGTCCCAGAGATTTGTGTGGCTCCCACCCTTGTGACATTTAAGAAACTGTTAAAAATCTGGTTGTAATGTGATTCCTAGGATTTATATCTTACTGTTTTAATTGTAGTCTACCACCTGATTAGATTTATCCTTTAGGTGTCACAATGTTTTTTCCTTCTTTATGCATACTTGAACATAAATATCTCTTCTTACAAGCTACTGACACCCAGGGTGAGATATCTCTAAAGCTTAATGTGCAAATACCTGAATTCAAATCCCTGTAAAGGGTTTGAGCATGTGGAAACTACTGGTACTTGATGAGTCCCAATATGGACAAAACCAGCACATAGTGCCATCTGCTGGTCAATAGCAATTATAGCATCAATTACCAATTATCTAGGCAAAAAGCCAGCTGGGTGACCTTGGGCCAGTCACTTTCTCTCAGCCCTAGAAAGGAGGCAATGGCAAACCACTTCTG